CTTTGAGCCTACAGTACTACACAAATGTATTGTAACTTAAAAAGTCGACTTGGGTTGTTTTCATATGAAACGAAACACTCGAATTTCAAGTGTTTATTTCAAGGCTTAGTTGGGTCGGAGATTAAATTAAAAAAAGAAAGATCTAGCAATGTCAGGAAAAAATAACTCCTGTTTTCAATTTGTCCCTTTCTAGATTAGAGTGATGGGCCTTGGTATACCATTGCACCTGCACAGCAATAGATTTTATTTGTTGTAGAGATAATGCGTTTAAGACTTAGAGAAATGTATAGTTAGAATGTAGGCAACAAAAACATGCGTGTTTGTGAGATTTAAAAAACAGGAGGGGGGATGTTGGTAGGGGGTGGGGGGCACCCCATGTTTAAGACAACAATTTGATGGACATGGACCACCTTAGGTTTAGGGTTAGGATCGACGCCAACAACCTCAGATGTTGTTTTTAGGGTTTGGGTTAGCGTCGGCCAAAAGAAGGGGGTTGTTGATACAGTCAAATGGGCCGGCGTTCCGCAGTGTCGATCTATCTTGTGGTGGAGGGGATGATCTCAGCACGTCTTTCTTTCAGGTGGTGGGGGTGGTTGGGGTGGTGATGGTGTTAGGGGTGGTGGGGTTGGTGGAGGTGGTGGGGTGGTGAGGGTGGGGTTGGTTGAGGTGGTGGGGTGGTGAGGGTGGGGTTGGTTATGGTGGTGGGGTGGTGAAGGTGGTTAGGGTGGTGGAGGTGGTGAGGGTGGGACCACGTGATATAACCATATAATATGATCAAATTGTAGGACCACGTGATATAGCCATATAATATGACCACATGTTGTAACGTAGTATGCCCACTCAATGTAACGTAGTAGGACCACACATTATACTGTGGTACAACCACACGGTAGGACCACACGGTAGGACCACACATTATACTGTGGTACAACCACACGGTAGGACCACACAATTTAACGTAGTAGGACCACACATTAAACTGTGGTACAACCACACGGTAGGACCACACAATTTAACGTAGTAGGACCACACATTATAACGTAGTAGGACCACACATTATAACGTAGTAGTGCCACACAGTAGGGCAACATGTAACGTGGTAGGACCACACATTATAACGTGGTAGGACCACACATTATAACGTAGTAGGACCACCCGTTGTATCGTTGTAATCCCACCTATCCCCAAGAAACACTGGACCCTCTAACCTTGCTGTGTCAGCCCTCAGCCCGCCCCGCTAAGGACACCATCTTTAAATAAACCTCTTGACCTCAATTCACGGGATCTGGAGTAAGCTTTGACCTACAAACAACGGGCTTGTCTGGCGACATTCACCTGTAACTCCCCCCCCCCCCCCCCCCCCAAACACACACACAAATCTCCCCCCCCCCCCCCCCACACACACCACCACTCCCACTCAAACACACCTGTGTGACCGTAACGATCGTCACAAAACAAATTATATCATTCATAAACTTAAGTCTATTATCGCTATAGTTAAATATGTGACGGCTGGTCTGTTGGAATTAACTTGTATGGCGATCTTATGTCTGAAATATGCTACATAACCTGACGGATTATTCTGGGTTTTAATCGTTAAAAAATGTAAACAAATCGTAGAACTATCACGGGAAAAAAATTGTCATCAAAATAAAACGAAGTCAAGGAAAAGAAACTATTTGCTGAAACAATTGAAAAATCAGTTTTAGCTAAGAAAGTTTTCTTGACTTTGTTTATTTCGATTAAAAATATTATTTTCTGTTAGTCCTCCCCCCCCCACCCCCTCCCCCCAACTCCTATCGCCAGCCTTTCTATCAAGATAATATCACAGTCCATTTGTAACATTGTAGTTTCCTTCATCCATGCGGAACCCGTATTTGTCTTTATACTAAATTAGGGCATTATAATGCGTCGGGGTATTGCCCTCTTCAATCTCTTTTTCTTACTATCTCTCACTCCCTCCTTTGTTTAGAATAAAATAAATACTTCAAAACAAATTTTTTTTGACACATCTTCGTTTTACTACATGATCAAAAACCTTTGTCCCCCCCCCCTCATGACTTGAAAGGGGTGACTATGTCACGCATGATTAGTTTTGCCTTCCGGCAAACATTAAGAACTGCCATTTTTTTTTTTGTTGCGTTTAGTGAAACCTTAATTTCAAATAATTGAGCCATATTTAAAACAATTTGTTGTGTTTCAATTATAACGGATAAGCTAATTTGCAAAGGATTAAAAATGTGTTTGACTACAAGTGACTTCCATGTTTTCTGTATTTGATTTTGTTTTCAATACACCATTTAACTGTATACAAATGGCGCGGTTGTTTCGTTTATAAGCTATTTGATTTACTTTATAGATTTGCAGCACCCTTACCCTACATTTATTTTTACAACAACAGCCTCAGTGCCCTCTTCCCCCCTCATCCTAGCTCATCCTCTGCATCAAGCTAGACTAAAATTGTTACATTCCTAACTAGAATTAACATGTCATCGTTTTCTTTTTGTTTTTTTTTTTTTTTTTTTTTTTTTTGCTTTTCAAGAAATCAATAATATTTTGTTAAATCGCCCCCCCCCCCCAACACTCACTAACCTTACCTCCCAAGCTTAAAACGTGACATATTGTCACAAAACTCAATCACCTCCATGCGCTAGCTACAACACTTGTAAGGACAACCTCAATCGTACTTGTTTGAGGTTGTGTGTAATTTGTGTGATGTACTCCTCAAAACCTGACCTTAGTTTCCCCCCCCCCCCTCCCACTCTCCCCAACACCATCTAACCTAAATAATTCTGCTACCCTACCTGACTTAACCCACCCCCCCCCCACAGCTGATCTTAACTTCCGCCCCCACCCCCCCCACCTAAACTTATTTCCGCCCCCCCCCCCCCCCAACCTCCACACACACATACACACACCTGACCTAAACTTTTCTTCTACAACTAATCTAAACTTTTTTTTGCTCACCCACTTGACCTAAACTTTAGTTCTCCCCACTGATCTAAACTATAGTTCTCCCCACCTAAACTAACTTTAAGTTACCCCACTTGACCTAAACTTTAGTTCTCCCCACCTAAACTAACTTTAAGTTACCCCACTGATCTAAACTTTAGTTCTCCCCACCTAAACTAACTTTAAGTTACCCCACTGACCTAAACTTTAGTTCTCCCCACCTAAACTAACTTTAAGTTACCCCACTTGACCTAAACTTTAGTTCTCCCCACCTAAACTAATTTTCAAGTTACCCCACTTGACCTAAACTTTAGTTCTCCCCACCTAAACTAATTTTCAAGTTACCCCACTTGACCTAAACTTTAGTTCTCCCCACCTAAACTAACTTTAAGTTACTCCACTTGACCTAAACTTTAGTTCTCCCCACCTAAACTAATTTTCAAGTTACCCCACTTGACCTAAACTTTAGTTCTCCCCACCTAAACTAACTTTAAAGTTACCCCAATTGACCTAAACTTTAGTTCTCCCCACCTAAACTAACTTTCAAGTTACCCCACTTGACCTAAACTTTAGTTCTCCCCACCTAAACTAATTTTCAAGTTACCCCACTTGACCTAAACTTTAGTTCTCCCCACCTAAACTAACTTTCAAGTTACCCCACTTGACCTAAACTTTAGTTCTCCCCACCTAAACTGATTTTCAAGTTACCCCACTTGACCTAAACTTTAGTTCTCCCACCTAAACTAACTTTCAAGTTACCCGACTTGACTTAAACTTTAGTTCTCCCCACCTAAACTAATTTTCAAGTTACCCCACTTGACCTAAACTTTAGTTCTCCCCACCTAAACTAACTTTCAAGTTACCCCACTTGACCTAAACTTTAGTTCTCCCCACCTAAACTAACTTTCAAGTCACCCCACTTGACCTAAACTTTAGTTCTCCCCAACTTAACTAACTTTCAAGTTACCCCACTTGACCTAAACTTAAGTTCTCCCCACCTAAACTAATTTTCAAGTTACCCCACTTGACCTAAACTTTAGTTCTCCCCACCTAAACTAACTTTCAAGTTACCCCACTTGACCTAAACTTTAGTTCTCCCCACCTAAACTAACTTTCAAGTTACCCCACTTGACCTAAACTTTAGTTCTCCCCACCTAAACTGATTTTCAAGTTACCCCACTTGACCTAAACTTTAGTTCTCCCCACCTAAACTAACTTTTAAGTTACCCCACTTGACCTAAACTTTAGTTCTCCCCACCTAAACTAACTTTCAAGTTACCCCACTTGACCTAAACTTTAGTTCTCCCCACCTAAACTAACTTTCAAGTTACCCCACTTGACCTAAACTTTAGTTCTCCCCACCTAAACTAACTTTCAAGTTACCCCACTTGACCTAAACTTTAGTTCTCCCCACCTAAACTAACTTTCAAGTTACCCCACTTGACCTAAACTTTAGTTCTCCCCACCTAAACTAACTTTCAAGTTACCCCACTTGACCTAAACTTTAGTTCTCCCCCACCTAAACTAACTTTCGAGTTACCCCACTTGACCTAAACTTTAGTTCTCCCCACCAAAACTAACTTTTAAGTTACCCCACTGACCTAAACTTTAGTTCTCCCCACCAAAAGTAAACCTTAAGTTACCCCACTGACCTAAACTTTAGTTTTCCCCACCAAAAGTAAACCTTAAGTTACCCCACTGACCTAAACTTTAGTTCTCCCCACCTAAACAAACTTTTAAGTGACCCCACTGATCTAAACTTTAGCTTTCCCCACCAAAACTAAACTTTAAGTGACCCCACTGACCTAAACTTTAGTTCTCCCCACCTAAACAAACTTTTAAGTGACCCCACTGATCTAAACTTTAGCTTTCCCCACCAAAACTAAACTTTAAGTGACCCCACTGACCTAAACTTTAGTTTTCCCACCAAAACTAACTTTAAGCTACCCCACTGACCTAAACTTTAGTTTTCCCACCAAAACTAACTTTTAAGTTACCCCACTGATCTAGAATTTTCCTCTGCCCCCCAGGCCTAACGTGTGCCCCTACCAGGACGTGACCATGGTACTCATCAGACAACCCTGCGTCCAGGCGTTTACTAGACTGGTCAAGGTGTGGAAGCCAGACTGTGGCTACACCAGGAACTGGTGTGTGGGATACGAGAGAAGGTGAGTAGTCATTATGTGGTGGTGTGGGTCGTATATGTGTGAGTCTTATGTGTGAGTCGTTAATGTGTGAGTCGTTAATGTGTGAGTCGTTAATGTGTGAGTCGTTAATGTGTGAGTCGTTAATGTGTGAGTCGTTAATGTGTGAGTCGTTAATGTGTGAGTCGTATATGTGTGAGTCTTATGTGTGAGTCGTTAATGTGTGAGTCGTTAATGTGTGAGTCGTTAATGTGTGAGTCGTTAATGTGTGAGTCGTTAATGTGTGAGTCGTTAATGTGTGAGTCGTTAATGTGTGAGTCGTTAATGTGTGAGTCGTATATGTGTGAGTCTTATGTGTGAGTCGTTAATGTGTGAGTCGTTAATGTGTGAGTCGTTAATGTGTGAGTCGTTAATGTGTGAGTCGTAAATGTGTGAGTCGTATATGTGTGAGTCGTTAATGTGTGAGTCGTTAATGTGTGGGTCGTATATGTGTGTGTCGTACATGTGTGGTTGTAAGAGTCGTAAATGTGAGTCGTATATGTGTGTGTGTCGTAAATGTGTGGTTGTGTGAGTCGTATATGTGTGTATGTCGTAAATGTGTGGTTGTGTGAGTCGTATATGTGTGTGTCGTAAGTGTGTGGTTGTGTAAGTCGTACATTTTTTGTTGTTGAGTGAAGGTGGGTTAATGATGGACGGTGTGTTTTGTCAATCTATTGTATGATAGCTCTAATGTGTTTTCAAGTAGTGTTAATCATCGTTGTCCCATAAGTCTTGCTGGAGTATGGACAGCCACCTACAGCTCTTCAGATTCCTCTGTCGCTTGCCTTTTTGGTTTACTCATTTTTTACCTGTATAAATTAGTGAGACTGAATGGAGTATTAGTAAAGTCAAAAGGTGAATTTCGATGGTATATTAGTTGAGTGAAAGATTAATCTTTGTGTATTTTGTGTGAAAGACTACTGGTTGTAATGTAAAGTTGTGAATAACATGGACGTTTTATGTTGAGGTGAGCATAAAAGTCGAAGCTTTCATGACATGCTGTTACATTTGATGGAGCTTTCACTGTGTGTTTGTTGTCTGAAAGAATGTCGGTCTTAATAGCTTGTTAGATATAAAGTATATTTATAGTAACGATGATACGAAATCGAGTCTTTATATTCTATCTATATGGTGTGTTGAGTAAAAAAACGAACGTTAAAGCGTTTCTTAGTGTGTGGTATAAAAACGAGCTTCTCTAGTGTATAAATTATGTAGATGATAAAAGCTTAAGAGATTCGCCTGTCTTCTTTGAAGTTGTTGCCGTTGTTAAAAACTCTTTTAATTGGCTGTTCATGTTTTCGTCCGACCTCCACCCCTACTCGAGGTAACTGTATAATGAAACTGATTCATCGGCTGTGTATGTTTACATGCTAGACTAGAGCATTTCATGACAATAGCTGAATGTGACGTCACAGACTGACTAAATGACCCACGTCTCGATCTTAAATAATGGTCAAATGACGTAATCGCAGGTTGGATTGACTTGATGACGTAGACCCAAAAAAAATATTGAAGGTTTTACGGTACGGTTTAAACCTTATCGAGGCCTGGCCTTGAGAAATATGTCAAGTCTCAAGTCAAGAAATTTCAATCAAGTCCCTGGCTAAGTCAGGAATGTCAGTGACGTGACTGTCAGTGATTGGTTGACTCCTGACATTTAGACCTGTCACTGTCACTTGCTGATTAAACAGATTAGTCATTTTAATTAGTTTTTACATTGGCACGAAAAGCAGGCCATGGACATTTCTCTAGATATCTATTGTAAACGATCCAAAAGGTGGATCGGAACGAGACATGAAAATGTAGATTTACCTGTCTAAAGCTTAACTATCAAGTTTACCTGTATAAGAAAGAACTGAATTTACAAGTGTTTACAGAAAAAAAATAACTCAGCTTGTAAACTGATGTACTGAAATGACCTGTACATAGAAGTAGTGATTTACCTGTAACTGTAGTTGCTGGGTTTACTTGTAAACTGAAGTACTTGTTTTACCGGTAAATCAAAGTACTGATTTACCTGTAAATTTAGGTAATGAGTTTACCTGTAAATTGAAGTACTTGGTGAGGTACTGATTGTATCTGTAAATTGAACCACTGCTTTTATCTGTAAATTGAAGTACTTTGTTTACCTGCACTTTGATGAACTGAGTTTACCTGTAAATCGAAGCAGTGAGTTTTCCTGTCAAGTTGAAGGACTGAGTTAACTCGTTAAACTGAATGAGCTTAAAACTGCGTTGCTAAATTGCGACGATGGTCTTCAAAGGAAAATACTGCCTGCTACGGTGAGACACTGGGGGGGGGGGGGGGGGGTTATGGTCCTTAACGAGCTACTTATAGTGTTTTAAAGAAATATTTTCAGTGTCAGCGTTGGTACTGTCGAATTCACAAATTATGAATTATTGAACATTAGAAACAACTAAATAGCGGCGTATGTTATGCCGCGGGCCGGCTCGTATACATTAATTGGGCTCTGTTGATATTAGAAACAAGCTTGGTCGAATGGTAGAGCATTTGGCTGCTAACCCATAGGTCTCTCGTTCGGATCTCGGTTCGGTCTTGTGACTGTTGGACGTCCCTGAGTTCACTTAGCACTAATGGGTTCGGGGAAAGTCAAGGCGGATGGGCATAGTGCTGACCACACCATCCCATCATTAAAATTGATATATAATTTCATACATAGACAGAGAAAGATTTCATAGCGGTAGAAAGTGGGGTGGAGGAGTGAACGAGGGATGTGTTTATAAAACAAAACCACTCACACACTCACAATTTTGGCCAAGTTAAAAATTTCCTATACACGTGGTTGATTCTCCTGTTCACCTTTCTCGTTCTCGCGTCCTAATTATTTAAATGGTCAAATTACCTCCACGGCACTCCCACCCTAGAGCCCCACCCTAGAGGCACCGCTGGGGGCTACCCCTCGTTTCACGCCCCACCGATTCTGTTATGTCAAACACGGAAGGTCAATTAAATTCGTTTTAATTAGCTCCACTCTGATTATCTTAACCAGACCAGCAGACCATACGGCCGTTACAATTTTTCATTGTTCGACGGTGCGGGGAGTAGGACGGGGGGAGGCGGGGGTGTCGCTCCCAGGCTATTTGTAACCTGTTTACCTGGGAGGCGGTTGGGGTGGGGGTGACACAAGGTGTCATTGTCGCTCTACCTGAGCTAGACTTGGGGCGAAAGGCGAACGCCAATAAGCAGGTAATGATCGGCTATAAGTGTCTGATTAGGTACGGTTGTGAGTGATGGGGGTGGGGGGAGGAGGAGGGGGGGGGGTGGGGGTGAAGGTTGGAAGAAAACTGAAACCTGGATCGCTCATGACATCTCAGGGTCGAATCTCCCGCGTGGAAAAGAAAGACGGAAAAAATAAATAATTGACGGGTAAAAATAGAATCGGGACTTTCCCGAATGTTTTCGGGGATTTTGAAAAGGTGAGTTGTGCCCCTTGTTAGATATACTTAACTTCTGATGTTTGTACTAGGATCGAATGCCGAACAGAAAGAAGGTGGAAAACATTGAGAAGAAAAGTTCGATTAATTAACACAGTTACATGTTTGCTTGTGTAGTAATGGACCGTATAAAGTATTCATTGTAGTCAGCTTTTATAAGGCTAAATAAATTAACTGAAAAAGAAGTTCCGTGCTTAAAAATGATCTCATTGGAATTTTTTAAAGACGATTTTGTATTTATATAGCTTGATATGAAAGAGATTATCTGAATTATTCACTGAAGTTTACAATGATTGTTCCACTTATTCGAAACATTTACTTTTAGAACCCACAGCTACATCATACATCCGCTACTACATGATATATCCATCACCACGACACACCTACTACTATATTACACATCTACAACTACACGATACATCCATTACTACATGGACATATTTTACTCTCAAGACCCACTACTACTCAGATATCTACTACGACACGGCACCCTACTACTACACGACATGTTCTACTTTCATGAACTAGTACTACACAATACAACACTACTACTACGACACATCCACTACTAGTACAAAACATCTACTACTGCACGACACATCTACTACTAAGCGACACTACACCACACCTTTACTACTACACGACACGTCCACCACTACACGACACATCAACTACTACACGACACATTACTACTTCACGACACATCTACTACTACACGATACATCTACTACTACACGACACAACTACTACTACACGACACAACTACTACTACATGACACATCCACTACTACACGACACATCCACTACTACACGACACATCTACTGCTACACGACACATCTACTACTACTCGACACATCTACTACTACACGACACATCTACTACTACACGACACATCACTACTACACGACACATTACTACTACACGACACATCCACTACTACACGACACATCCACTACTATACGACACACCCACTACCACCAGACACATCCATCACTCCCACCTCTACTACTACACGACACGTTGTACTTCCAGGACCCAGTACTACACGACGTACAAGGAGCGTTACGAGCCGACCCAGGTCACCAGGTACAAGTGCTGCAGTGGCTGGCAGATGGACACACAGGGCACCGCCTGCAACAACAGTAAGTAGTGGTCGTCTGGTCACGTGATGGCCACCATCGTCACGTGATGGCTGGTCACCTGATGGTCTGGTCACGCGATACCTCCCTGGTCACGTGATGGTCACCCTCGTCACGTGATATCTGTGGTCACGTGATGGTCTGGTCACGTTATTCCCACTCTGGTCACTTGGCAAACTGGTCACGTGATACCCGCCCTGGTCGCGTAACAACCTCGTCACGTGATCGTCGTCACTTGACAATTTAGCAACGGGACGGGCGTTACCCCCCCCCCCCCCCCGAAAAAAATGGCATTAAAAAGGATCATGGGTATTGTGTTTACGATTGAAAAGCCGTAAATAGACCGTTGTTGTGTTTATAGAGGGTTCCATCCAAACAGTGGCGTAGCCAGTATCGTCTCAAGGAGGGGGGGGGGGGGTCCAATTTTTACCCGGGGACAAACTTTCGATTTGCACCCCACCCCCTCAATTTTTCGATTTGCACCCATCTCATACTTTCTATATATATACCGAGGGGTCTATGGGGGGAGGGGGTTATGACCCCCCTAACCCCCCCCTGCCTACGCCACTGCATCCAAATAGTAATCAGAGGAGTACTTACTTTTTTTTATCTCAGAGGAGTACTTACTTTGAAAGATGCTTACAATATAGGATACTTTTAATATAGGATACTTAAAATATTGGATGTTTTGACTCGAGGATAGTCTCGCTGCATATTTACATAATATGATACTTGGTGTCCATAACAATTCGCCTTCAAATATCTCCCACTGCCTTTCACCAGAAAAAAAAATGTAAACACACATTGGGATATTCAATTTCAATATGCTCTTTAACGCTTATGTCAAATATTCCAAGAATCCTCTGTCAACTAACGTTGACAATAAACCCCGTTAGTTTACACCTTTGCATTATCTCCCCATTTTTCAATGCAAGAATTACCTCCCATGTTATTTACCTTTGTCTTTAAACTTGAAAGGGTAGATAACCTAGGTGTCACACAGCGGAAACTTCAAAACGTTTTTTTTTTATCATAAGGAGTGGTTGCCTGAGTGACAGAAAGTCTTAGCTGCGACGTTTCGGGCCAACCATATCAATATTTGTCTAGTTACCGAACTGGCAGTCTCGGTTCATGGGGGGAGGGGGGGGGGGGTGTGAGACAGCAATACAACATTCTTTAGTTACCAGGAAGAGCGTTTTGTCTTTTTTGTTTTACTTGATATTTAACATCGCTCCTGGTTATAAATTTAAAATAGTTTGTGATGTCGAAAAACATGTTCTATTTTTTAAATATACATTTCAAAAATGATATTTAAGATAAAAAAATAAAAGTAAAATTAAAAAAATTTATTAACTTAAAATCTTACCATATACAAAGGGTAAAATTTGGTGTTAAATAGTTGTTTTTGTAGTTTTAGCACCTAATACATGTAGAATGACTCCCTGAGTCCACCCAGCTATGATGGGTACCTAACCCACGTAAAGGTGGCTGTGCATAGTGCTAATCACACTATACCATCATATGTCGAGGTCATAGAAACAGGTGAACTCTACTTCACCTGCTTCGAGGGAAATTTACTTTTACATGTAGACTATACCTTCAGCTGTGAGCTTTAGAACTTTAGCTGTAGACTTAAGAATTTTTGCTTTACTTGAAGCTAGCACTTTAGTTCTTGACTTTAGCGCTTCAGCTTTAGACTTTGCTGATTAGCTGTTGCCTTTAGCAATCTAGCTGCACTTGAAAACTTCAGCAGCTTAGCTGCACTAGCAGTCACGTGATATTCGGGAGGACATGTTTACATCTCGCCAGCCACCAATCGTCATGGAATGCCGGAATAAACCGGCACGTAATTTCGGAGTAGACCGGCACGGAATGTCGGACAAATCGGAACGTTTTTTAAACGAAATCATTCTGACAGTCGAGCGCTAAGTTGATTCTTGTTCGACGCCCCACCCAAGTTTTTACTCTCACGAACCCCCCTCCCTCTAAACACACCCACCCCCACACCTCGGGCCAGACCCCGGGGGCGATTAACGCGCGTTTGTTACGCAACAAAACAATCACGGTGTAGTTTCCATATGCAAGACACGTGACCTCCCCCCCACGTGTTTACGCCATGTTTGTTTATCCGCCTGCAGTTGCGCGTTCGTGACATGCGCACTCGCGGATGCTCATGCTGTGGCTCCTATTGTTTTTAAAGTGTGTAAATTAACACTAACCCCACCCCCTCCAAGAAATGCGTGGGCGGGGGAGCTGATGGTGGTAAGCGTGGGAGTTGACTTCTCACCGCACAGTGCAACAATCGGAAATTTCACGTTCCGAGTCTAAGGCACGCATGCGCAACAAGTTACTTCCCAACGGAATGTTGTGTTGTTACTTTTTAACACGTTTTTATTAACTCAGCTTCGCGTGTGTTTGTTTGTTGTTAAAATTGACATCGAAAATTAGCCCACTTCTGATTGCTCTATAGATCTGAAATTTGGCATGCAGGCTACTTTCGCCTAACAATTTCAGATGGAATCATAAAAACTAGCAATTAGAGACCGTAATTAGCTTAATTTAATTACGCCCTAAGGACCATAAAATTGAGGACATGATTTCTAAAGATACCGACAAGACTGGAGGCCTATTGACACAGTTACTTCGGCCCCAATCGATGTGAACGCGCTGGCCGTGATCGTATAGTGGTTAGTACTTCGCGTTGTGGCCGCGACAACCCAGGTTCGAATCCTGGTCTCTCAAGATTTTTAGTCCGTGTATTTATAAACACTTAGTCAAGTCATGCTTAATCAAGTCATTAGATAAAGTAGAAAATAAACTATATGAAAAACTTTTTTAAAAACCCCGTTTTTCATGTGTAGCAACGGACTAAAAAGAAGAAAATAAAATACTTAAAAAAAACTTTTTAAAAAACCACGTTTTTCTTGTGGACTAAAAAGTAGAAAATAACTATTTACATACATTTGATGACAAAAAACGTGGGTCGGGCAGATGGGTCGGGAAATTTGATGGTGAACGTACCCACGTTTTTTGTCATCAAATGTATGTAAATAGTTATTTTCTACTTTTTAGTCCACAAGAAAAACGTGGTTTTTTAAAAAGTTTTTTTTAAGTATTTTATTAGCACTTTGCTGAACTTTGTTGCTAGAAGTTGTTAGTATAAAAAGAATAATAGAACAAAGGTGCAAATATTTAAACAAAATTGTACCATTATCGATAAAGGGTTCCAGAATTTAAACAAGACTTTAACATATTTCAAAAGCACAAATAGTTTAAGAAAACTTGTACATAAAAGGTACAAAAGTATAACAAAAGTGTACGGTAATAGGACATAAGGTACTTTTTTAATAAAACGGGTCCTTTGTAGGACTAAGGTACAAAAAATGTTACCAACCAAAACTACCTTAATAGGACTCGGTACAAATATTTTGACAAAACGGTACAGTAATAGGACAAAGGTAAAAAAATTTTTTACAAAACTATCTTTATAGGAAATCCTACAGATGTGTTGACAGAAATATACTCTAACACGATAAAGGTACACATATCTTAACAAAACTGTACAGTAATAGGACATAGGTATAAAAAAATGTTACAAAACTACCATAATAGGACACGGTACAAATATTTTGACAAAAAAAGTACATAATTAGGATAAAGGGGTCATCCATAAATGACGTCACGCTTTTTTGACGATTTTTACCTTCCCCCCCCCCCCCCCCTCCCCTCCGTCACACGTCGTCACAAAAAGCCAGACCCCCCCCATCTAAAATGACGTCACATCTCAGCCTACACCCCCCCCCCCCTAAAAATTGCTGTTGAATTTTGCTTAAAACATCGATATTTTTATCAATTCCTATTACAATTATTAAAAACGTTATCTAAAACTCGAAATAACGTCTAAAACTCGTTTTCTAAGATTGCATTTTTATAATGCAAAAAAAATGACGTCACACCATCTGAACCCTCCCCCCTCCCCCTCATCACACACCGTCACAAAATTACGGACCCCCCCCCCCCTCTCCCCTTCGAGTGTGACGTCATTTTTGGACGACCCCCCAAAGGCACAAACATTTTAACAAAACTGTACAGCAACAGTAAAAAAATATTCAGATAAACTCTACACAACTACTGTAATAGGACAAGGTATACCTATTATAACAAAACTATACCATCACTATAAGACCTTTTTTAACCAAAAAAAAAATGACCAGCACTGTCTACCAATTAGCCTGCCGGTAACCCGATCACCAGCGGTACAATAAAGCCACGCCAACCTGGCCATATCACGAGCCAGCGAAATCCGCGCCATGAATGGCCAGATTTTTTTTTCTAGCCCGTCTGCCTGGCAGGTTGCTCAGTCAATGAATTCAGCGGGTAGGTCCAGAGCAGGGGTCTCCAAACTTTTCAGCCCGAGGGTCACATTCAATGTTCCCTCTAAGGACCAAGAGTGTGTGTGCAAAAAATATGTAGTGTGCGCGGTGCTAAAAATGACTTGGGCAAAATAATACGTATTTTTAGTCTTGCAATTAAGCATAATAATGAAGGCATGCATTTTGATAAATTAATAGTATAATGTGTGTGACTAATGAAACGTATGCAATTAAATGGAGACACGAATACCATCAAAATAAAAAAAAACTTATAAAAACTTTCAGAGTTATACTTAGACAACAAGTTATATGTTCGACTTACTATGTTAAAGTAAGACAGTCATATGGTAATAATGCTTATACCATAACGGTAATACAAACACAATAGTTTAACATATGCAACATTTAATAAAGCTGACTTAAAAACAAATATTAGCTAACCTTTCAGGGGCATTTATTGCAATTTCTCGCGTCTAACCTTGCATTGCTTCCACACCTTATATGCTTTGTTTAAATCCACATCCTCTCCAGCATTTAGATATAATTTAGTTTGCATCAGATTCTCCAAATGTGTGGCTTCAAGTCTATTTCGTGCTTGCACTTTTATTATGTTAATAAGGCTAAAACCTT